AATAATCGAAATCAACACGGTAAAACCAAAGTTTGGTAAAACATACTTTATTCTGTCGTTCGTCAACAATTTTTTGCCACATTTGTATGTTTTACCTCTTGCTCAGAAATGTTCAAGCAGTAGAAATATTCAGTGCTATAATCAGAGAAGTAAAAACAAGTTTCAAAGTTTTACTAAGTTTGGGTATGTCCACCATTTTTTTTTTTGTACAAGTGTCAAAAATATGCGATCGTGTCTTAATTGCTCTTCTGTCAATATACATACGTAAGTATTGATAGTTCAACCAAAATCTTGTGAATTGGCATCAATTATTTCCTACTTGTGGTCGCCTACTTTAGCAGTAACATTATTGAATATCACATTATTCCATTTCTCTATTTAGAATGAAAAAACCATTAAAATAGTAATAAGTAATATAAATAATAATAATAAAAGGTGATAACATCAAGATTTATGATTTCCTTAAACCAATCACGCCAACATTTCTACTACCATACCATGTCCATTTTTGTGTTATTAGAAGGTGATAAATAAAGGTGGCACATTTAAATGTTGCTAGGCATGTATTTATATTAGAAAATTATAGAATATTTAATATTTAAAGAAATTTAAATTCTTAGAAATAATATCAGTCTTTCTCTATCAGAATCATTTATAATAATTATTGTCTGACTATAGCCAGTACCAATCAACGACAGTACTTTTTGTTTGTCAAAACTTGCTTTTGAAGGATAATCAGTAGCTTTTCTTTGAAGTCCGCGTTTATTTTCTCATCACACAGAACAACGCAGCGGCAAAATCTAGTAATTTTGGAAACCAATGTTTGCCGTACTTAAAACTAATGTTTGCTTTTCATAGGCGCACTTTTTAAAAGCAGGTGCCTTTGGGGGGAATTTAAGATAACATAGTTACATAGTTTTTATGGCCATATGACTGGATATAAAGGCTGCTTTATTTAAGATAAATCATCAGTCTTACAGCTAGTTTGTTGGGTGTTACAGTCGCCAAAGTTTATTGTGTTTTTGTGCTATCGGAGAAAAAAATTTAATAAATTCGTGAGTAACTAACCTTTTTACGAGGCATATAGGTACCTATTTATAATTAATTTTTCACATACTTTACTAATAAACATAATATGAGAAACTTCTTTTGATAATAATAATAATAATCTCTATTTAGCACTTGGCTGGAACATGCAGAAAAAAAGTATATACATAATTACATTATTAAAAGTGAATTTCTCTAAATATTTTCCATGAGCACATCTATACCATTTCCAGCATTATTTCACACTAGTGAAATTTGATTTCAAATTAATAAAAACTAAATTCACATTAGTGAAATCTAATTTCGCTCAAATGAAAATTAATTTCAAAGTACAATGTTATTTATTTTACCCTAATAAAATAAACCCACTGAGTTCACATAACATAAAATACAATCATAAAACAACAATAATAATTATAAATTATTTAAATAAATTGAACTTCAGTTAGGTCTTCTCACTCTTGAGACAGCTGCATTATACCTTTCCACGTGAATCGCGGAACTGAAGTTTAATTTATTTAAATAATCTATAATTTTTATTGTTATTTCATGATTGTATTTTATTTATCTAAACTCAGTGGGTTTATTTCATTAGGGTGAAATAAATATTGCTGTGGATTATTTTTCAAATTAAAATAATAAATCTTTGAAAAATGAGTATTAATTAGGGTCAGTTTGAAATTCATTTTCGAAAATGTGAAATTCAATGTCGTTTGTGAGAAATTAGTTTTCGTTACTTTGAAATCAATTTTCATTAATTTGAAACCAAATTTCACTAGTGTAAAATAATGCTGAAAATGGTATAGTCTTATAAACATTGAATGGTCACAATCTCTTGCTTGATCCTGATTTCTTCTACATGTTTTTTTTTATTATTTCACCAAGGCATCACAGCACTTGTAACTTTATTTGGCAGTTCTTTGTATAATTTCAGACCCTTGAAAAATAACTATATTTTTCTATTTTAAGTAACAATAGGTTTCTATCTATTGTTTCAAATGCTCTTTTCAAATCTAAGAAAACCGCGCCGATCATTTTTCCTTCTTCTACACCATTTTTGTTGTTGAAAATCAATGTTTGTAACGCACTTTCTCGCGAGTTGTTTTTTCTTAAACCAGTTTGATATTGCACTATTTTATTTTTACACAATTCTAATAATTTCTCATGTGGGGGTACAATGTTCACTGCTTGAAATTCTTTACTTTTAATGGTCTTATCAATTTTTTCCGATAAGAATAACCCAAGGAACAATTTTTTAAGTTTTTTGAAATTTTCTTTTGTCTAGTTATGGGATTTAGAATTTTTTTACATATACTTTCAAATGCATGTTTTCAAATGTCTGTTATAATACCATTTATGTTCCTCTTCCTATTTTTCATATTGTTGATAGTTTTCCACAGTTCTGATATATTTATAATGAAAATTTTCGTATGTAGTATATCTTTGTCAACAACTTCTCCACTAAAGATTATTTCGTTTTTAACATTTTCAATTTTTTCTTTATTCACCAATGTTAACAGGTTTTTATACATTCCTGTTGAGGTTTACGCATTAATTTTCATTTATTTCTTCATTATAAAATTTCACTTATGCTGTCCCTAATAGTATCATGTTTTGTTGTATTCTGTATATGTTCGCCATCATCTGTTTTTGATACAATCTTTCTCATTTTTTGTGTTTTTCAAATTCTCGATTGCATCACAATATGTTGCTCCATTATTTTTCCTTTTTCAGGTTTAAAATTCATTAATAGCTATAAGAGTGTTAGTCCATTTTTTTGCTAATATGTCATAGTCTGAATGGTCAGATGGCCAATGTATGTTAGGCACCTATTCCAATTTAACCATGTTCATATGTTTTATATATTTTTCATTATCTTCTCATGTTCTTTTGCTTCATGTTAATTGTGATAATCGAGTGATCTGTGACTTTTAGGGTCGATTATTTTTTTCAGTTTCTTTACATCTGTGAGCATTCAGTATGTATTTTCGTTGCAGGGTCTTTGGTTAGGCGTGTATATTTTTCAAGCAAGTACTTGATAAAAGCCGTACTTTCTTATAGGGAGCCCGCCTAAAAACTAGAACCAGCCATGTCCATGTTAAAATGTTCCATCAAGCTGTATTGTTTCGAATAAGCATATTCATTGAGATTAAAAATTTATTTATGCATAATATATGCATGTACAACAACTATGAAGTTGGAATTTCAATTTCAATTTTACGCTGGTTCAGCATTTGAATGTTTCTCACTTTCCTATTAGAAGTTGATTTTCCTGCCAAATTAAAAAAAATAGAAAATTAAAAATATTGTGGGACTAGATTTTATTGAAAGATTAAACATGCTCCACATGACAATTTATATTTTCTCATCGAACCACCATAAATTAATTTGAAAATTAAGTTGAATCCATCTAATTACATCCATTGGGGTAACATTTTTCATTTTCCGAACCTTTGAAATACGACCGCTTCATGTGAGAAAATCTCACACCAATAAATAAAGAAAAATACAATAAATTCTTTGAGCGTTTTCTCATCCCAGTGTTTTATCAAAGGAGGAGGGCTGCCAGCCGTATTTGATATTGAAATATGGAAGCTTACATCCTGCTTTTTAATTTGTCCGCCGTGTCTATATTGTATGGTTTATCCTTGGAGTTTGTTTTTCTTTTTTTAAATAAGACGAGAAACTTTTATAGAATTACCACTTAAGTACCTAATCAAAATAGCGAAGGGAATTTAACAGACATTAAATTGTATTCAACATTAAATGTTTTCTCTCCTCTTTCAACAGCTATATTTAAAGTTTAAATTATCAGTTCTGCAAATCTAATTCGCTCATTTGTTTCCCTTAATGACTAACCAGGCTCGCGCTTGCTGATTGACAAACCAAAAATATGAAAATCTGATTCATTGTCTTGTCATGCCATTGTCTTATTTCCAACCCCGCTGGCTGTTCATTAAAAACTTTCTTTATTATTTGCGTTCCTTGATAAGGAAATAAGTTTTACAAAAAGGAAGTCGCTTTCGGTCAAGGAAATGCGCACATAAATAAACTGTCCCATCAATTATGGCCCAACAACGGGGCAACACCTGGTATATATGCGGATACTTGCCGAGGAGCAATGGCGACGATGAAAAACGTGATAGTTCAAGGCGAACTGCAGATGTCACTAGTTGAGTGATTTAGTGCTTCACCAGTTCGCTGTAAATTAATCTTTATTAATGTAGACCAGTTTATCAGTCAGCGCCAACCGTAATAAACAAATGAACGGAAAAATTAACATAGCTTGCTGGTGCATTTTTGTCAACTTTGAACTTAAAAAAATCTGTCAATTTTCCTTTAACACTGAATAATACTTAAAAGATCGATTGTCTATTGGTCAATATTTATAAGAATGCTAATGATGAATGGTGAATTATAATTTAGCTTGAACAAAAAAATTTGCATGCATTTAAATCATCTCCACATATATGATTGAATCGCATGAATAAATTAGAAAATTGGAAATTAAGAGACGTTAAAACAACAGCTGGAAGATGAGAATCAAAAACTAGCACCTGTTTTATGTGTATTGGTTAAGTGGAATATTACGTAGACTAGTGTTAAATTGTCTTCAATTTAAATGCTGCTGCTGATGTCAGATTGACAGAAATTATATCTACACAGGTCTCAAGAATTTCTTTTTCCATAAACATTAAGATGTAATTTCCCTTTCTAATGTTTATCCATAATATTAATATGCTCAAATATTTCAAACTTATGAATAGTTTAAATTTAAACGATAATAGCAACTTTTTCAACTTTAGACTTGTTCTGTGAATCTAACATAGGTATTTTTAAATACTTGCTCATTCTGATATGTTTTAACATGTAAGAGTTATGTGTATATAAAAATTGCCAAAAAATTGAAAATCTACCCTCGAAACAACTCAGAACTTTCTTTTTGGTTTCAGGGGAAGGAGGGGAGGAAGGTTCGCCTGAAGAAGGCGATGACAAGCTTGAAGGTGAAGAGGAAGCAGGTTCTATGACCCCTACCTCTACATCTCCTGCACCAGCTGAAGACGACGGCCAATCACCACCTCCTGGTGGCGTGCCATTATCACCCACCAGTCCCAGGAGTATAAATGAGGATTCTACTTTAATCAGGTACCTACCCATTTCTTCAATATTTTCTGAAAGCCGGATGCCTGAAAGCAAATAGAAATAAATTACAGCAACATTAACAACGAAAAACATCATTCAATTTTGAATTCAAATTTATTCCATAGAGAGTACCTAAACAAGAGTTTTGCTGCGAATGAAACACTAGTAATTTTTTTGTGAAACCAGATTTAAAATCACGTTCCGGGAAATTTGCATTTGTAAATTAACTAATATTTGACTTTATACACATATTTTTTCTCTTGTTTTTGTCTGGGTTGTTAAGTTCCGATTCAATGTCTTCATTTTCTATTCAAAATTGTCATCCATGCAATTAAAACACAGAATAGTAACATAAATTCTTCAATTGTTTCAGAGAACCATCCTCCAGGTGCCAATCAAGAAACTCCGCCGATTCCGAATCTCGTTGTCCTTCTGGCGAAAGCGAAAGAATGCTGGCTGAACGCGCCGCACTTCTTCATGGAGTTCCTCTGGGAGCTGCCTTAAGTCCAGTCGGAGTTGCTCTACCACCATCAATTCCTGCAGGTTTGTTACCGTCACAAAGTGCTGCTATGGCCGCTTATATCAACGCAGCAGCTGCTGCGGCAGTACAATCGCACCGGCTTATGATGACTTCGCCATTACCTGGAGGTTTTAGTAGGGCACCAGTATCTCCTTTAATATCCTCTTCGTCAAGTCCTCCAGGTTTACATCATAATGATTTATCGCCTAACGCGGAAGGTATTTTGGACTTCAGTAGGAAGCATAAAAACGAAGATAGTGATACTGATATAATGAATTTAAGTAAGCCTGATACTCCACCAAGTGGCGAAGGTACCCCTTTAGATTTGTCAGTGAGTAGCCGCAAAAGAACCTCAGACGAACCTTTGCATCAACCCCCTCAACGTAAGCCGAAGATTGAGTTTAAGCCAACGATACCTCCATGGCCCCCAGGACTTGGCGCTCAACACCTTCCATATTTCGCAGCAGCAGTAGCAGCTGCAGGATTATCACCTAAAAACAATCCTGCAGAGCTATGGAATGGTAAAATCAAACATACTCCACCAGCACCAAGTGAAGCTACAAAAGCATTGGAAAAAATGAGCGAACTAAGCAAAATTGGTGGTGAGGATTTGTTTAGAACTATGGCCAGTTCAGTCCCAGGGAATTCCACGAGTAATAGACACAGTGCATGGCAAAGCCATTGGTTGAATAAAGGAGCAGAACAAGCCAAAGACGTGTTGAAATGTGTCTGGTGTAAACAAAGCTTCCCAAGCCTGGCAGCTTTGACCACTCACATGAAAGAAGCCAAACATTGCGGTGTTAACGTTCCCGTCCCTCCAATGCAATCGGCTATACCTTCTCAATCTCAAATGACGTCTCCATCTAACACAAGTACGTCATCTACTAGCTCAAGCAAGCCCAATCAAGATCTGAATATGTTAATAAAAGAAACAATGCCCTTACCGAGGAAGTTGGTTCGAGGCCAGGATGTTTGGTTGGGAAAAGGAGCTGAACAAACTAGACAAATTCTGAAATGCATGTGGTGTGGACAAAGCTTCAGATCTTTAGCTGAAATGACTAGTCACATGCAACAAACCCAACATTACACTAATATAATTTCCCAAGAGCAAATTATATCGTGGCGGTCAACTGATGATCCTAAAGGTAGTGGAAGTGGTGCCAGTAATAACCAAACACCTCCTGGAGGCACTAGTAGTCATGTAAGTGCTGTTTTAACTTGTAAAGTTTGTGATCAAGCTTTTAGCTCGTTGAAAGAACTGAGCAATCATATGGTGAAAAATTCTCATTATAAAGAACATATTATGAGATCTATAACTGAAAGTGGTGGTAGACGAAGGCAGACAAGAGAAAAACGTAAAAAATCATTACCAGTGAGGAAACTATTGGAATTAGAGAGAGCGCAGCATGATTTCAAAAATGGTGAAAGTGCAACCACCTTATTAGAAAAATTGCGTGATTCGTCAGGAGCTGGACGAATTACTTGTGAAAAATGTGGCAACAAAATTGAAACCACTTTATTTGTTGACCATATAAGACAATGTGTTGGAGGTATTTCCACAAATCAAAGAAACTTTTTGAAAAGTGCTTTGATGACTAACAACGTCATTCTACCCCCAGAGAGTCCTGAAAGCACTAAAATTAAAACTCCATCGTCTGAAAAATCACCATCACCCACCCAAAGATCTCCTTCAGTATCCGAAAAAGAATCAGCAAATATACCATCATCAACTGAAACCAACAACGGCTCAAGCCCTTCAGTTTTAAATGCCATTGAAAAATTAATTGAAAAAAGTTTCGATTCAAGATCCAGGCAAAACCCAGCAGGGTTTCCAGCTCATGGACATACACAAGCTCCAATAGGCTCCAGCATACTCAAAAGGCTCGGTATTGATGAAAGCGTTGATTATACTAAGCCTTTAGTTGATCCTCAAACAATGAATTTACTACGAAGCTATCATCATCAGCAAAGCCACTATAATCGAAGGGAGAGAAGTGGGAGCGAATCAAGTTCTATGTCAGAAAGAGGCAGCAGTCGCGTTGATTCTCTAACTCCAGAAAGAAAAATGGAACCTCCAGGAATTCCCACAACTCCTAGGTCTACACCGGATATTAAACGGGAAAAAAGTCCTTTTATTGAGAAACATACTAATATTTTGAATACCACCGAAGATCTTGTAAAAGTAAAAAAAGAAATTGATGAAGATGTAAATACTGAAAATATTGACAGTGTAAAAATAAAAAAGGAAAAAGATGAAGAACATGAAGAAGATGAAAGACAAAGTTACAGCAATGGAGAAGTGAATAATAAAGATGAAGAAAATAAAAGTCACACATTAAGTCCTCAAGCCCAACCACCAACAAGTCCTTGTCGAAACTCAAGCAGTCCAGCGAGTAGTGATCGTTCCGGTACTCCACGAAGTACCACAAGCGACAGAAAAAGTGGAGGCGGTAGTCTCGGGGCTTTAAGTTCCATGTTTGACAATTTATCAGGTGCCAATAGTTCAGGTGATAATGCTGCAGCTTCAGGAAATAAAAAAGGTTCCAGCCATCCTTTGGCTGCTTTACAGAAGCTATGTGATAAGACTGAAACTCATAATACCAGTAGCAGAACACATTCAGCTACAGTTACTTCAGCTAACATACCTAGCACTACTCCAAATAGTGCTTCAGGGGGTGGTACCACTCCGGGAGCTATTTTGGCTTTTAGTTGGGCTTGTAACGATGCCGTAATGACTCAAGATTCTATAATGAAATGTGCTTTTTGCGATACACCATTCATTTCCAAAGGGGCTTACAGACACCATTTATCAAAAATGCATTTCGTTAAAGATGGAGTGATTCCAGATCCAGTTACACTCAAATCTAGTGCGTCAACAAGTAGTAGCAGCAATAACTCGGTAGGAGTACCTTTAAAGGGAACGTCAGTGCTTCCTGGTGGTAGCAGTTCCGCGGCACCACCAAAAAGTCCTACTACGGGTGCACCAGGTTTCGAAGAGAGTCCGCACTCAAAATTTCTAAAGTATACTGAACTAGCTAAGCAGTTGTCTAGTAAATACGTGTAAATATTTTTTCGAAGAATACATTCCTATTTTGTAAAAAGCTGGTTATATGTAATTATTGATTAGTATACCAAGCGGTTAAGAGATGGGGCTAATAAGTGAGTAGTTCCTCTTTCTAACTGCTCCATTGAAAGGCGCGCTCAGCGCGCGGTCTTTTGTGATGTTATCATATCGTTAAAGAAAAAAAAGAGATGGAAACCCAGTAGAAATACGAAAAATGTAGCTATATAGTCTTAAAGGTTGTAAATTCTTTGCAAATGATATGGCAAAAGAAAAGTCTCAAGTGATTATTATTGTTATACGAATTTTGAGTCACTGTGTAAATAATTGTATGGTATTAAGTCAGTATTTTTAAGATATCTTATTAATTTTTCCCTTTTTGACAGGTTAAAGTTGAATTTTTGGTTGTTGAGGAGTATTGGAGACTAAGCCAGATAAAATGTGCGCACAATCTTTAACCTATCTTCAGATTAGAAAGAGACAATTTTAGAACGTTTACTGGAATTTTTTTATCAAAAATTTGAAGCAGTACCTACTGTAAAACAATGTTTATTAATTTAAATTAAATGTGAAATTAAAACTAAGTTTCAAATCGCGGGCTGCTTGATGTTTATGTACGAGGCCGCTTTATGAATTCTCGAAACAGAAACTCTAGTCCTGAACCTGCCAAGGCATAAACATCTACTTTAAAAAAGACAAGAAAAACTTTTGAATGGCTAACTTCAATCATTTTAGGTTTTATTCCCAAATTGTGTTTAATTCCTAAATTAGGTCGAGATTTTCAGTAATACTCCTTCTTATATATTTCAGTTTATTTGGATATTGTTTCCGGTTCAAGCCAGTTTTTTTTTTGTGTCCCAGCATATATTATTGGTAGTAAAAAATATCTACTCTGATGACAACCTTTTAGAATCTCACCTTTCTTACCCTTACTAAACCGTACTATTTTTCCAAAAATCCAGGATTCAAAATCCAAAAAAATAAATAAATTCAACTTTAACTTTGCACGTTATTTCTTCCCTAAGAATTAAAAAAAAAGAAGAAAAATAGTTGTTGGTTTCCAAACCGAACCTTTAAAAAGGTATTACAAAGTCGTAGTAATATATTTATTAATTATGATAAAACTTTGATTTCTTTTTTTTATGTTTAAAAACGTGTTTTTTAACAAAAGGAAGGATTTGAGTTTTTGATAATGCAACAAAATGTTTTTGTTTTTCTATTATTTAAGACTGGAAAAAAATTAAAATTTGTTTTCTAATTATTATATTGTTATTACAAAAACTCAAATTCCAGAAACTTAGTATACGTATGTCGTAAATATCTCTTCTTCCAAATGAAAAGTTTTAAGGGACAAAAAAAATTATACTACACTGAATAATACAAAAAAGATGTATACGCAATTATAGCTAATAATCTTCGGCAAAGCTCTTTTTTATGTTATATTGAAAAAAAAAAATTAAAAACTTATTTAATTATTTTTGTTGTATTTGATCGCAATGAAAGCTCAAATAAATATATGTTTTAAAAATTACATTCAGTTGGTCTTTTATTTAATTTTCACCTATTGGATGAAACTTTTCAGGCGTTGAAATTGAGAAGAAGAAAAAACACGTAAAATACTGATCCTGATTTTTTTCGTACCTATCTATCACTTGTCCAGGAAACTGACTGAAAATAAATTGTGTTACACACTTCCAGCTCACATGAAAGAGGGTCATCACTATGTTATACATGAATATTTGGTGGGTTATCAGACTACATATTTGCATTAATAAGTGCACCCCAGCTGCTGAGTTTATCATCTCGGCTGAAGCTGAAGTAAATAGTTTCAATTTATTGAGTTTATACTTAGCTGATTTCGCGGTAAAACTTATTTTTGGAATTAAAACCAAGATTATGGATATATTTTCATTTGCTCAATTCAAAAAAAATATTAATACAAAAGTTGAATCTAATTTCTTACATATTGTAATTGTTGCAAACTGAAGTTTAATATTTTTTTATCTTTTTTTGAGAAAAATGTCCAAATATATAAAGTTCGTATATCGAGAATGTCTTCCTTACATAATAATTTTATCTTTTATAACCTGGGCTTGTTAACAAAAATGTTCGAAATACTATTTTGAATCACTTTTAAACACTCTAATGATTATTATACAGAACTACGCAAACTGCAAACTAATTATCCAAGTCGACTAGTTAGTTCAATTAGAACTTTATATTAATACCTATGAGTTATTTTCTATTCAAAATTTATTCCTTAATACATAGTTTATGTTATTAACTTCTTTTAATGGAAGTTTATGGTCATCGAATAAAATTGTGTGCTTCTGTTATTGAGGAAGCAGTACTTATACCTAATTTGATTTTCCAATGTTTAATGAAAATTTGTGATTTTCGAAAAACCACTTTATTTTGGTTAAATCTAAAATTATTTTTCTTTCGAATATTGCCATATTCTTACAATTGTACCTATCATCTGTATCATCATTTAAAGAATTTTGAAACAATTCCAATGCAATATCCCTTGCCTCATAGTTCTGTAGAATCTCGTTCTATTGCTTTTATTGAAATAATATGATCAAAACCAAATGCACACTTCTCGAAAAATAAGTGTTCAAAAATTTCATAATCATTCACAAGTTTTGTAGTTGTGAATTGTGCTGTTGTGCAATTCTTTTTTATCTTTGATTTAGTTAATCCTAAACTTATTTATAAAAGTATCGTTACAAAACCTACTACAAAATTTCATTCTTGTTTACGATAGTTTTACTTCCAGATTTAATTTTTTCTATTATCCTTTTGATTATTTTGAATTGTTATATCTGAAACAATTTTGTACAGTTTTCCAATGCAAATTTTCATTTATCATTTGTTTATAATAATAATTTTTCAATTCACCTATCAGCTTATTTGAATTATTTCTATAATTTTCATGTTCCGTAATTTTCCAATGTTTGGATTATATTTTAGATTTTTTTATTTTTTTTATTTCACATTATAATTAGTATTCCATTTATTATTCATGGTTTAAGTTTATTTAGCGTTTTCATTTTAAATTTGGATTATGTTTATAATAATTGTTGTTGGAATTTGAAATTCAAAATTCAACAAAAATTTCTTTCCAGGATTTTATTCTTGTAAAATATTTTCCCACTTTGTTTTTTCACGAATTATTAAAGTTTTCATGAATAATTTTTTCCTATATCTAATTACCTACATATTGATAACTTAAGTTATATTATCTTTAATTTCATAATTTTTAAAATTGTAGTCAGGCATGATCTATTATAAAATTATTAAAATTTAATTGATGATTAAGCTTTTGTCTTGGAATAAGATATCCAGACATAAATTTGATTTAAGACGGGTTACATCTTTCGTAATTAAAGTTGTAAAAGCCATGGCTCTAAAGAAGTAATAAATATTTCAAGTTAATTTTAGGTTAATATCTCCAAAAATCAAATCGATGTCAGTTTCATTTAATAAATAGTGTAAGGTTTTAACAGTTGTCTAGGGGTGAATGAAACAACACAGTTCTTCTAGCAAATTCATGACAGTCTTATTTTTTTATTCGTCACTTGCTCTGACACAACAATTCAACAACTGGTACCAATCAATACTAGTATTTGATTAAAACTAACAAAGGTACTATCAATTAGGTAAACGGTAAACTAGGTGCACATAGGTATTGAAATGCTGTCAGGTGATATGGAATTACCAATCCTACACTCGGCCATCCTGCTCAGAGTCCGACTCGGATTCGTCGCTGTTTCCATTTTAATTTTATTCCAAGATCAAACTGCGTCCTTTTAATTATTGTCATCAAGTCTTTTCCGTTATACGCTGTAGCCTTTTTTCTCGCCTTTTTTCTTCTTAATTTGTATCCTTTTTTGTTTTCACTCTGTACTTTTGTAATGTGTTCCTTACTCTTCTCTCTCATCTGTATTCTTTCTTCTTTGAAAATCTTTATTATTTCTTCTTTTATTTCTTCTTTGATTTGTCTGTGACGCTCTTCCTGTTTTACTAACTCATCTTGAAGGGCGTTTTTCAGGACGCGTTGCATGTCTTCTATTTGTTTTTTATACCATTCGTGTAATTCTTCGAAGTATTGACTAGACAGGGACAAGTTTTTTTCGAGAATCTCAATCTGATCAGAAAGCCTCAAAAACACCGACTTCTTTTCCAAATTATTTGCCGCCACTAGCGTAGTAATAGTAACAACATTCTCCGTTTCCATCCAATTCAGTAATAAATTCATCCACACTGTCATCATCATTGTCCTCTGTAGCAACAGTTTGGCCTTGAACAGGTTCTGCTACAATTCTAGGCTCTACAGCTTCTACAGCCTTCACAATTAGATCTACAGTCGCCGTATTCAAGTCGACAGTTGGCAAATCTGGCCTAATTAGTTGTGATTCAAGTTGACGCGCTGACTTCTTGATACCATTAGCCCTTCTTCATTGATGTGTACAGTAGCTTGTCTCAAGATATTGTTTCCAATTATAACATTGAAAGAAGTAGATAATTTGGGGATAACATGGAACTTAACTTCAAATTGTTCGTAATTAATGCCGAATTGCATCGTAGAAGATCTCAATGTTTTTATTTTTGTCCTTTCAAAAATACAAATCCGGATGTTAATTCAGTATTTGAAAAATGTTCATTAAACACGTCTTCCCTCATTGTACAGACATCGCTTCCAGTGTCAAATAAAGCAGTCCATATTAATCCATTGATTGTAAGCTTGAGGGTGGTTTTTCGTTCAGTTTCAATCACATTAATGCTTGAACTCCCTACGCTACTATTTTCTAGATTTCTATTCGAACATTTTCTGGAAACATGACCATAATTATTGCAGTTGAAACACTTCGTTTCCTTTGACTTATCAGGACAAGCATTCGATCTATGACCCTGACCTCCACAATTGAAACAAGTCATTTTTTTTCCTTCTCCAATATCATAATTCATTTCCCTAACTGTACTATTTTCATTCTTTTTAAAATACTCTTTCTTCATTTTACAAGGTTGTTCGTGTACATTGGCTTTCCTCTGAATTCGCTCATACAGCTAAATTTTTTCTTTCAGATCAGTGAAATTTTTAGCTCCGTACAACACCATCTTATTTGACGAATCGTCTTGAATTCCATCAATTATAATATATTCTATGAACACCTCCAACTCTATGTACGCGCGACTTGCCATTTCTTTCATCTTAATCATATACTCTTGCACAGTTTCATCATATTTTTTTCTTCTTGTTGATAGCATTTTATGTATTTGCGCACTGTTGACGCTAAGTCCAAATTCTTCAATGGGTTTTTGTTTTAGGGTTGACCAATTTCGTATTCCTTTTTCAGATTGTATGAAAAGTTTTGCGAGGCCTTTCAGTCATTTCTTCGCGTAAATTAACTTCTGGAGTTCGTTTCACCCAGTGACTTCTGCCACTTCTTCGAATTCCATAATCCACGTCTGGCTAGGATATTCATCTTTTCCATCGAAAGACCTATATCTTCCACTTCTCGAAAACTTAATGCAAATGTGTCTTGTTTTTTAATAAACGTTGTATCCAGATAGCGATAACCTCCATCGTCGTCTTCTTGTCGCGATCTTTCTGCATCTTGCCATCGCCTGAACTCTTGTTCTCGCCTATGGTCGTATCTTGGTGCAATTTCCTCTCTGCGCCAATAATCATATTTTCGTCTTTCATTTAATTCAATATTTTTTTCTTCTCTGAGTCTATCATCGTAGTTTCATATTTCCTCAATTCTTCGTCTTTCATAGTTGCATTTTTCATCTTCACTTTTGTGTCTGTCTCCATTACGGCGTCGTGTGACGTATTCTCGTTTATCTTTTTCGTCTTCTCGTCGCTCTGCATAGGCCTATCTATCTTTTTTGTTTTTTCGTCTTTCTTCATGTGCACGTCTATCTTCTCCGTCTTTTCGTCTTTCTTCATACGCACGTTTATCTTCTTCGTCTTTTCGTCTTTCTTCAACTCTGTGCTTCTTCCTTCGTTCTTTCGTCTTCATGTCTTCCGTCTTCAAGTCTTTCGTTCTTCATTCTCAGAATCCGAGCTATCGTCGTTATCAAAAATGAACAAATCCTACAAACCACATCTTTTTTTTCGTTTGTATAATTTAGCCCTAATAATTGACAGACTCTTTATCAATCTAGAGATATTGGCTCAAAATAACAACTATGGTTGAGTAGCCTCCCGTAACCAGGGACCTCAATACCTGCTGGTGAAACTGGCTAACTAATCAAAAACTCTTCTGTATTGAATATAGGTGGTGTTGATTGAATGTATGTGTGGAATGTGTGGAATTAAAATTTTAGCACAAGGAAAAAGGACGGTACCTAATTCAAACTTTTATCGACTCACAATTATTTATTAAAATGACACACTATGTTTTGATTTTTGAGGAATGTTAGCTCGAGGGTGTCTCTGCCGAGCTCTCGTGAGTTCTAGGCCGAGAACGGTACGATTTTCTAATAATAAATTAAAAGTTTAACAAATTTTTTGTTTATTTTACATATCACAACTTCCCTTAAATTTCCCTAATTTTGCTATTGTCGGGCGCATGTCAAGTAAGCAAAATTTAGTAAGTTTCCACAACGTAGGTCCTATTTGTTTTCCATTTCGTTTTTCAGAAGATACG